GTATTTAAATACGTCTGCAAGTTTTCTTTGTCACTCCTTTCCTTATTATAAAACAAAGTTACATCGAGATACATGTAAAATTGAATATGGAAAGTTTTTTAAAAGAACTGATACGTGATTTGAAATATACACGTACATCATATCTGTGATTTATGATTATGTCCTGTATATGCCATGTTACTTTACTACATAATAGTCTTAATTAAATCTAAAATCCTGAATAAGCTACATTTATTAAGTAAACTGAAATACGAGTTTCTTTTCAGACTTTACTGGCCAGATGAACCTCAGTTAAGGTTTGATTGGAGGAGCAGCTTCTGATATTTTCCCTGTTTGGTTTAAAAGGTACATTGACATTGCATATAGAAATAAAGAATGAATTTTTGTATAATTTCTTACAAAGATCAAATATTTTTAATTCAAAAGCTTTTACTAAGTTTTTCTTTTCAAGTTGTGTCAATAATTATGGAAACTATTTTATGTTTATAGTTACAACTGTTCAACTGTCAGGGATGGGGTCATTTACATAGGAAAGTAATTAATTAAATTACAATTGCTTTCCCAAAACCTTTAATCAAATTACCATTACCATTACAAAGATTTTGAAATAAAAAGGTGAAGATAACGAACAAATGGATCTCAAAAATCTATATAAAAGAAAAAAAAAAATTCTGTGAAGAGGGCATAAAACACGGACCCCTTGAAATTCCCTTGAAATTCCAGAGGTGGGATCAGGTGCCTAGGAGGAGTAAACATTCCTTTTGCAAAAGTAATTAATTAAATTACATGTTACATTTTACGGAAACACTTAAATAGTCAAGAGCATTTCTTTATATTTATATCAGATTCATATACAACATTTTTTTTTTTATCATTTACAATTTTTAATAGTTCATGAAATTTTCAAATACTGTATTGTGTCCCCTAACCTACATCTATCAGGTTTGAAGGTTTTTCCTGCCACACTGAAAAAAAAAATTCACTGGGGCATATGTGACAGGAATAGGTAGATACTAACTAGTATCAAGTCTACTCATGTTTTTTCCTTAACTCATATGTGTTGCAAAATTTGATGTCATTGTTAAGCTTTTTGAAATATTTCTGTAAAATTATGAATGCATTTTGCCTTGATGTTTCCATTTTTCAGCATTTTAAGCTTTCTCAAAATGTTTATATTTGACATGTTATGTGTCAAACTACCATAAATGCCATCCGAAGATAGTGCAAAAGTCAAAGTGTTGTAAAATATCTATTAAAATTCAGTGTCAACATGTACATCATCTTTTAGCATGAAATATATGGAGATAACGAACAGTATTCAAGCTCAAAAGTCCATTATACAATACAAATTAGGAGCAGAGCAAACATGGACCTCCAAACATCAGAGGTGGGATCAGGTGCCATGGAGGAGTGAGCATCCCCTGCCGACCGGTCACACCCGCCGTGTGCTTTTTGTCATGATCGGGAAATAACGGAAAAATAGCACTAATTAGCACCCGTTAATCACTTCTCACAGAGGCCGTGAAGAAACATGGAAAACAAAGGATTAGAAGTCATTGGGCTGGGTATTTTAACTGTCAATTCATAAACAACTTAATCAAAATTATTAATTATTTTGGTAAATTAAACACAGACGAGATTATTTTGATTAAAAAGTTTTAAAGAAAATACACAAGAGGAAACAGCAGTTCGCTAAAAATGTAGAAATATGTTAATTCTTTAAAAAATAATTAACCATCAGTGTAAGTGAATGTAATTGAAAAGTAATTGTGCATTACATGCCTTTTCTCCAAATTAAAAAATTAAATTACAATTAAATGTAATTGAAAATTTGTCCAATTAAACATTACCTTCAATTTCATTGAAATTTGCAATTATTAATCATTAATTACAATTACACATTACCATTACCCCATCCCTGTCAACTGTGCGTTTTGTATACTTGTAAGAATCTGAAAGGGGTGATTATTTTTACAAGTGGGTCATATTTCGATAGAAAAAAATATCAAGTCTGTATACCTTAAAATTTGGAGGATGTCACCTCCAAAAGGAGAAAATGATTGATTCTTTGTTCTTTAACGTCCCTCTCGAGAATTTTTTCACTCATATGGAGCCGCCACCACTAGCAGGTGGAGGGTTGCAAATTTATACCTATACTCGGCACTCAGGGCCATTGAGCGGTGAGGGATCTTTTGCATGCCAACACCTGCTGCGACACGGGACCTCGGTGTATACGGTCGGATCAGGAAGACCGGTCTCAACGTTCCGCAGTGGATTCGAACCCTCGAGGTAAGGATCAGCTCCTTACTCCGCGACTCTAGAGCAGACGCTTTTTCAACTACGACCCACAGGGGAGAAGTAGAGCAACTATGTTAACATCCTTTTTTCACCCTCAAAATTTTTTATCCATTTTTGAAATATTTGATATCCCCCTTCTCCCAAAATGAAAGCAGAAAGAAGTTCTATCTGTTTGGATCTCCCCGCACCATTTAAACTCTGTAATTTTACTGATAAAGCAAACAATAGACAACTGCTTTTGGTATTTTAAATTCATAAAAATTAATAAATATATTTTAGAAACAAATTTATAAATAATTAAAGAATAGTTTTATTCCAACGAGACCTCAAACCGTCTGCATTCTATTACAATCGATACAAAAGTAAACAAACAAATTTACCCAGTGGTGTTAAAAGTTTTTTAAATCAAAATTTCATAAATATTATGAATGCTGTCGAAGTTTATGCCAATCAAGGGGACAAATATAAGGAAAAGACCTTGAGACTTTGTCAGAATGGATAAACAAAAGTATAAGATGGATGCTGAAATATCGCATTAAACGGTTGAGAGGTAATATAAATAATATAAAAAACCGTCTGTCCTTTTGTTCTCCATAATTAAGAAGTGATAAAAGAATTAGATAAACTACACAGAAAGATAGATCAATATGTATAATACTGGTTCCAACTGACGCAGCAGGTAACAATATTGTATTTGCTTGTAAGACTCATTATTATGAAGGGCATTTGTAAAAATCTGATAACTGTTTGAAAAAAAACTATCCTTCAACGGAAATAAATGAGTTTGACATAATTGAAAAGATCATAAAAAATATACACATATTGTGACGTCACTTTGTAATATTTATATTTGCTATTTGCTGTGTTTTTCTACTAAGCCAACTGTGAAATTGATTGAAAGTCATTTTTGTATATACTCGCGTGTAGAAATATACAGGTGAAACTCGCGCTAAAGTGACGTCACAATGAGGCTACAGAGACGTAAAAAAATGTAACGATATAGGGCAGCAAGAAATTCAAATATTGAGTATATTATTGGTGCTTTTAAACATGTAAAATGTAAATATAAGGAATGTTTTTAAGTTTAGTGTGAATTATTGGTGTGTAAATCACACAGAATTGCACGTAGGCATAATTTTCATGAAGCGCTAGCTTCAAATAATTGACCAAAAGGAGGTAGATAGCTGTCGGCCTTTTATTCTTGCTGATAATGGTGGCAATTTAGTGTCTTCGAAACACGTTCATAGTTCCAACAGCAAGGCATGTTTTTATGCCGTTAGCACGCATTTTCTGAAAAAGTTTCCTCGTCTCGAACTTTAGTAATATACAAGCGTTTAATAATCCCCCCCCCCCTTAACTTTCTTTATATGACCTATTCACCACAGAAATTATTAGATAGGAAATGAAAATAATAACCATGATGAACAAAAAAAAAATCGCATACTCAAACATACATCCAATTCTGAAAGTATAATTGTTTATGAAATACTTGTGTAAGTGTAAACAGCTATCTAAATTCATGTTGTAGTGACCTAGTTGTAACCTTAGACTGGATAGAGTCTGTTGATGGTCCAAACAAAGGATACTCAATCTTATTTTCATTAATCTCAATTCACGGTTATTTAATGCAACCCTTCTTTCTACTAAAGGATCTTTCATTATTAAGAATAACTATGGCCCTGTTGTTCTAAATAGAAAAAAAGGCTTCTCTCATTGTGCATTTACCTTTGGTTTTCTGCATAATGTAGAACTATACAGCTAAAATCGGTTGCTCAAATATATGGAGACTTATAAAAGTATTTAACTATGTCCGTAATTCGTTATATCCGTAAAACAAAATTCATAAAAATATAAATAACGTATTCACAATATACATGTTTCCGTCAAGTACGATTACTGAATATGTTCATGGAAGTTTTTAATACAAAATATATCTTTGAGAACTTCAATTTTCTGATGAATTAAATTTCAATATATTATATTTACAAAAGATAATTTCACTTCAATGTTTCAAATGTTGAATATTTAAAAACTCGTTAAAAAGATGTAAATTTCTGTATTTTTAACACACCAAAATCATTACCCTCCATGATTCCCTTCTAAAGAGACACATATGAATAGAATTTTGTGTCCTAATTTACGACATTACGTAGATCACTTCACATGACCCAGTACTAATTGATAAGGGCAGTCAGTTGGAACTGTATTAATGAACACTAAACCGAAAGTAGGACCTAGTCAAATGATCATTTAGTCAAAGGATTGTTCGTGTTAATCAGTGATTTTCACAAAAAGGTATTTTTATACATATACCAATCAATGTAATGTCAACCTCATATTGATCATTGATAATGATTAATATTCTTCATATATATATATATATATATATATATATATATATATATATATATATATATATATATATATATATGATCACGTTACATAATGACAACACACTCGTGACGTTACGTAGGCAATGGTAAACATAATACAATTGTGTCGTTATAATATTTCACAATTTTTTAAGCCGTTGTATAAAAATTTACAGTTCACGCGATAAGATTTCAGCGCCTGTTCTTATACAGTACAGAGGACGTTCTATGTAAAATGTACATGATAAAATAACTTGAAATAAATAATAAATAAAGAAGCAATTTATTTTTGGTTTAAACAGATTCATGATTTAACACCTGAGCATTGGAATGGCTACTCCCATAACCTGGGCTCAGGAGGTAGTCACCTGTGACCTTTGTAATAACCCCACCCAGCAATTTTGTAACAACTGTCAAGTAAGTTTATGTGGATATTGCATGAATAAGCATGTCGAGAAAAATGGGTGTCTAACACATGGAATAGTTGCGTATAAGGATAGAATTTCAAAGCTTGATTTCCCCGAGTGTGAATTTCACAAAGACCAGAGATGCGATGCCTATTGTAAGCAGTGTGATGTCCCCGTTTGTATTAAGTGTGTCATTAGTTTTCATAATGGGCACCATTTTTGTGGTATACAACAAATCTTTCAAGAAAAGAAAATTGAGATTGAAAAGGAAACGCGTGAGATTGAATCCACTATTATTTTGACTTTCAAGAAGAAACAGAGGGAAATAGAAACTAGCATGGATATATCTAAGGAAAAATTTGATGTGCTTAAAAAAGAATGCGAGAAGGAAAGAAAAGTCTGGCACAACGAAGTAGACTCTGTATTTAACAAACTAAGCTCTTTGGTGGAGTCAATGAAAAATCACCACCTTGCAACTCTGAAATCATACCTGTCTAACTTGCAGGATTTGATTAAAGACATTATTAATACAACCCAAAAGAACAAAATAAATGTCAAGTCGAACAAAGTCTCGGACATCATTAGACACAAAAGTAAAATGCAGAAATACAGAAACATTCCTACATGTGTCACTATGACAATTCCTTCAATTGAAACAAAGAGAGAGGAAGGTAAAGAATTTGTAATAGAACTGGGTTATTACAGAGCCACTCTGAGTCAGACAGTAGTGTCCAGTCTGCCGGAGAGGATATCAGATTTATCATTGAAGGAGTCCCAAGATCGAGTTAGACTAGACACAACTCACATGCAAGTAAGAAATTGTATTTAAATTTCAGCTTTTTAAAAATATAGAAATAGATTTGTCTTGTAACACAGCATACATTTACCGTTGGTAGGGAAGGGGAGAAAATGAGTTAAAAGTAAAGGGATAAGATATTTTAGTTTCAGGGTGAGGTACATTCTGCTCTCGTGGAAAAACTAAGACTGTCAGTTAAAAGATACGAAGATGATCTAACTGCGGAGAGAAAGGAACATCAAAATACCAAGTAAGGGAAAAGGAGCATTATTTTTTGTCTACAGGAATTAAACCCTTTACTTTGTATAGTAAATCTAAGTATTTCTAAGTATTACACAGGAATTTTGGGTGTTACATGGAAATGTTATCTTCATTTTCATGTTAATTTACAAAATATACATCATACTGTCGGAAGTTAAGAGATATCAAGGCTCTAACTCTCCAAGGAAGTTCTAGAGCAATGTTTCATAGTACATCGACGAACTTTGTACTTTATTAAACTTTAGTTCACGTAGTTTTTAGGATGTTAACATTGAGGCTTTGAGTAGCTTCTTGTACATACAATGTGCGTTGTTCTCATTATCTGATAAAATTAATTAAAAAGTACCTTTGATTATGTGGAAAATTTGTTAAAACTGGTTTTATATATGTGTTGTTACACGTTGTAGAAAGGCCATGATTGAGCTAAAACAGTCATTCCAACAACAATGTTCCAAATATAATTTGTCAGAAAATTACGAAAAAGTCAAATCGCAGGTGAGTTGATATTATAATTGTCTTACTGTGCAGTAGGAGTTAATAGAAGAATCAATTTGAATATTTTATTAGGCTATGTATTTTATGAGATCAAATGCATATCAGGGAACCCCAGTCATAAATACATATAATATAACTCACTTAATATGCTCTTTATAGCAGATTGTAACTCATGATAACGATTGTAACGTCTATATCTTAGTTTCTCATTGCAATGGTAAAAAAATCATTTGTCACCATGAAAAGAATTCTTACAATTTTTCACCCCAAATTAAGAAATGTTCAATTTTAAGTGTCCTTTTATATTTCATGTTTGTTTGCTTTTAACGTCCCTCTCGAGAAGTCTTCACTCATATAGATACTCCTATATTCCATGTATGCTAAAATCATTTACAGAAAAAAAGATTTTCCCAAAATAAAGCTTCATATTTTTTGCCTCTTTAATAATAATCCGATGCTTCTTAAATAATTTGTCTCTTTTCTACATTTCTTTCTAAATCAATTTCTTTTTTCAGGTGTTTTCTTTTCTTTCATCGTTTGCTAGGCGGCCAAAACAAACACAAAATGCAAAATTATTTTTAATTCTTAAACACTGCAATTTGGCATATCATAACTATTTCTTTATTCTTTCTTCATGTAAATAGATTCTTCAGTATTTCAAAGGTGTTTTCCGAACTGATTTTACATATTCAAACATTTATTAAAATAGCATCCAACTTTTAATAGTAGCATTGTTCTTCTTCAAAAGAAACGAAGCTTGCCAAGAGTCTTTTTTGAAGTGAACGTGAGTTAGAGAAAACTGGTAATACAAGTCACATGTTTTGATCTCTTACATTTACAGATATATATATATATATATATATATATATATATATATATATATATATATATATATATATATATATATATATATATATATATATATATATATATATATATATATATAAACTTCGTTGTGTATTACTGCAAGGGTTGCTAAGGTTTCTCTTAAGGGATAAAGAAAAAAAATACGGTATTGGAATGATAAAGAAAATGGCAAAAATTGAAGGAAGGATGAAGGAAAAAAGTAATAACTTTTTTCTTAATACATAGACCTCTTTTTAAAAATTTACAAACATTTTAAACTCAACTGATTTCATTATCTATATACATAAAGCACATTTTCATTTAAAGTCATGTATATGATGGCAGTTCGGGTGCATCAGAAGGGACAAAAATCAAAGGTACACAAAAAGAGTAATTTAAGATTGATGAAGTAATAATTTCAATAGTTATAATTTATGTACATGGAATATTCAATGCTTGATTTCAATTCCATACTATGAACAGAATGAAACAGTGATCGATGTCAAAAATTTTACAAACAATACAAATCTGTGGGCTGAAAACTGGTTGTTGAAATTCCTGTAACCTGTCAACAGGGGATGTTTACTCCTCCTAAGCACCTGATTCTACCTCTGGAATTCCCTCGGGTCCACGTTTTAGGCCCTGTTCACAAATTTGTATTGTTTGTAGATTTTTTTGAAATCTATCTCTGTTCGTTATCTTTTTCATTGTCTCATTTCTGAATGTCCAGTTGAAGGCTACAGGAAGTGTGTTCTTATTCTACTGAATCATGTTTTGAATAGATTCTGCTTCATAGAAACATGAAAACAGGTTAGTTAATAAAGGAACACAATTAGTACCCTTCGGAATTCCAGCGGATGGTTGGAAGAACTGCTCACCAACGATTATATAGATTCAGTCATTGGAGAATGCCAGCATCATTTTAATATCAATTTCAGAGTATTTATGTTTAGAAAATAAGAAGGGCAAAATGTTTGATCTCACGATTCTGCACATAGCGTTCTGTTTGTAAGCTATGCATATTCAATCATACATTAAAATAATTTGTTCAATAACAAGTGCACATTGTACAACTTTAAGAAAATTGAAACACAGTGAAATCAGGTGAGAAGGAAGAGTGAGCATCCAAGTCCATCGGTCAAATCAAGTGTTAACCTTCTGTTTTTATCCTAAGTGTCAATGTAACCAGTAGTTTTATATAAAACGTGTACAGGAAATAAGATTTCACATGTTTCGGCTGGGAGAAGTTAAGATGAAGTGTAGTCATACCCTACCTTGACAAATAGATTATGAAGCTTGCAAAAATTCATCATGGACAAAGTATATGTTCTTTTTGTAGAGTGGATATACAGAAAAAGAGAAGCAAAAATTGCTGGACCAGATTAGTCGATTAACGGCCCAGGTGTACGCCGGGAAGAAAGAAATAAACTCCAGAGAGGAGATGCTTAACAAAATACAGGAGGAGAATAAGAAAATAACAGAGGAACTCCACAATGTGGTCCCTGTACTCAAAGCTCAGGTAACTCAGTAATGTGGTCCCTGAACTTAAAGCTTACGTGTGAAAATCTGTAATGTGTTCCCTTTACCCATAGGTCAGGTGTGAAACTCAGCAATTCACCCCCCCCCCCCCCCTCCCTGCCCCTGTACTAAAAAGTGCTGGCATTTTATTCTGAAATATGGTAAGGACTTTAAGGTTCTTAAAGACAAATGGCTTCAAGTTTAAAATAAAAAATTCTTATTTGCACGCTACTATATTATAAGTTTGCTCATCATTTGTACACGTATATTTCAAAGTGAGATTATACAAAAAAAAAATTTGATACTATTTATACTGAAAGTCTAGTACGAAAGATAATAAAAATTAGGTTTTATTGTGTACTATAAAAAATATTAAGTGTATAAATAAAATTAGAAAACATGGATGTTAAGATGAGGCCATAGCAATTATCTTGAGAATGAAGCATTCTCATCAATTTTCGTTGTAGGCTGAGATATGGAAGTCAGATTTTAATGCCGAGAAATTTGCCAAGAAACGTCTCCATGCAGAGAAAACTCAACTGGAGAATGACTACAAACAACTCCAGCTACGCAACCAGCAGCTACTGGATGAGATGGAGAACTTCTCTAAGCGACAATTCCAAGAGATGCATCAGCGACACTCCAACCCAGGTTATCAGCACACACTTCAACAACACCTGGGGATGGGACCTATGGGCCATAACTGTACATATCAGATCTCTAAGTACCTTCTTCAGGGTATTACTAACCAGGTCCGAGAGTCAGGTGGAACGTACAGCGATGGTGTATCTCCTGCTGCTGTACCAGGAAGTACTTATCAGGTACATAATAATATTCTTTCCAAATGCCAAGGGGTGATAGTGTACATGTATATCAAGTTTATTTTAAAATCAATCATTTTTCTGAAATTTATGTAGACAACAAAATAATAGGAGGTATTACTTATGTATATGATGTTTTAATGTTAATGTACTTATTGAAACTTTAGTTTCTGGTGTCTAAATATTGGTATTATTTTTCTGTACCTCTATAAAACTGATAAGGAATTTACCCTATACATGTACATGTAGCAACGTGAAAATTCTGATCCTCTTTATCATCCAGATTCATAGTCAATCCAAGGAGGCAGAGAAACCAAATCAGATTGTGTGTCCATTATGTAACCAGGTATATACGGACTTGAGTACATTTCAGAGACATTTTTTCGACTGTTGTTACAGGATCCATAATCGTTCTTAGCTCTCACGAAATCACTTACTTAAATGCATTGACCAACATCATCAGATAATTCAGAGTATTTTATTCCTCAAAGATTATATTGTGATCAGATTAAGAAAATGCATTAATGGAGCATATTTTAGAAGTTCATATGTATTGTATACAGTAATATGTTGACTGTGCGACCGTTGGGGCGAGCGCAGATACTTATTACTGGATATCTCTTCAAAACACACGAGACATAAGGAACGCCTACACTCTGACGTAACATGACGTAGAGAATGTCAGTTGCGTTACCATTCAAGAAATCTGATTAACAAACGAACGATTCATCTTCATCATATCTTTAACTTTTCAATCTTCAACTTCCCTTACTTATGCAGCAATATACCTTCATCACCTGCATACGGGGTATATATCTCTCAGTTGATTTGATACGCAAGAGCATGCTCTATGTATGTACAATTTCTAAAACGAGGTAAATTATTGACAAACAAGTTGATGACAAAGATATCAGCTGTCTCGTTTAAAGTCATCATTTCGTAAGTTCTATGGTCGATACAATGACCTTGTCAGCAAATACAATTTATCATTGAGTCAAATGCTGACTGACTTTTTCGTACTAATTGTTAGGCCATTATTTACACACTGAATTGTCGACGGATTTTTCCGTTATTTCCCGATCATGACAAGGAGCACACGGCGGGTGTGACCGGTCGGCAGGGGATGTTCACTCCTCCATGGCACCTGATCCCACTTCTGATGTTTAGAGGTCCGTGTTTGCTCTGCTCCTATTTTGTATTGTTTAATGGACTTTGAGCTTGAATACTGTTCATTATCTCCATATATTTCATCTGCAATATTCATTAAATCAAGATGAGTTTATTATTTGTTGAACTTTTATTTGGTGAACTTTGATGATACCTCTAGAACGTAGTTAGAGTGAGAGGCATTCGGGTTGAATTGTGGGTTTCGAGGTAACTACGGAAAAAATCGTTCGGATCAATGTGCGAAGTCCGAATTTTCTCTTCACTCAGACGCTGCTTTAGGAGCTTGCAGTGACGTGCGGCGCAAAGCGCCGCTCGCGTATTTTGACATTGTGAAAATAACGCCCATGCATAATGGCCATTTGTAGGTACAAGCCACTATAAATAGACATGAAGTGACGTTAGGGTTTAAAGTATTTGATTCACTTCCTGTCTAGGGTTTCATTATCAGAAATGTTGAATCTTTTCTATGGATTTGCATTGCATTGCTTAAAGAGGTATGAATAAAGACTTACTAGGAATCATTAAAATATTCAAATATGGTTATACGAAAATGAAGGAGATCGTTAATTTTCTTCTTCTTTTTGAAATCAATTTTTATTTTTTTTATTTATTTATTTATTTTTTTGAGTATGTTTGAATATGATCTTAGCTTAATTTCTGGCAAGTGTTTCATACATTGTTGAAATGTATATTGCATTTTCATTTTAAATTTCAATTAAAAAATATTGAGGCTTGTAATTATTTTGTATTTTGAATTTTTTATATCGTGTACTTTAAAATGTTTTAGCTCTTTGGATTTAGAAAATAATAATTTTTAATTTGATTGTTGTGCATTTAGAAGAATAATATTTTTTATTTGATTGTTGTGCTGTATTTATCTCTAATCATAGGCACATGTAAGGTATACCTTAAAGTTCAAAAAGTCTCTCTCTCTCTCTTCAATTCCGACTACAATTAATTCAAGACTACCACAATTTTTTTTAACTTTAATAAAATGTTGAGCTCTCTTGATCTTCTCTTTTCTGTTATGAAGGGTATTACTATTAATATATGTATATGAAGCAGAATTTATTAAAAAAACAATTCTACATGAAAAGAATGTCTCTTGTTGTGACATTTAGAAATATCGAAGGCGTTTTATCAATTAATAATATATTTTTTAATTCCTTTGCCGATGCGATATACATATATCCCTTTGAACTTGAAATTAAAGACACTACCCAGTCCGAAACATTTGATTCATCTTTAGATATTTCTAGAAAAAAATTTAATGAAAAACTGTTAACAGAACTTTATGATAAACTTTATGGCTTCGGATTTTGGAAAGTCAGATTACCTCATTTATTGTAGCAATATACCCTTATCACCTGCATATGAATTATATGTTTCCCATGCAGTTGATTCGAGACGCAAGAGCTTGTTCAACGTTCGAACATTTTCTAAAACGTGGCAAGCTATTGACAAATAATGTGATGATACAAGGATATTAACAGTAGAGTTTAACGTCAACATTTTGCAAATTCTATGGTCGATACAATGACCTTGTCAAGAAATACAATCTACTGTTAGGTCGAATGTTGACTGAGATTTTTCATAGAAACTGTTATCCATCATTATAATTAAAGGCAGAAATTTTTAAGCATCGCCTTCAAAAATACCTGGTGTGTGTACCCCTGTCAATCAAGTGCATAGAGGTACACCATTGGGTGCTAGAACTTGATTGACATTTACTTACAAGTCCCTGTGTATACCCTGTACACATTGTTAGGCATTTGTGGTGACCTTCAAATTAACTTTTGATACTTTGATATTTACCATACATGGTATAAACAATAGAGAAGCTGTATTACTATGGAATATTTAGCTTGATAATATATATATATATATATATATATATATATATATATATATATATATATATATATATATATATATATATAACTCTGATTTAAGGACTAGGGAGACCAGACCATTATATATGGCTTAAGGAGACAATATACAGATTTTTTAAATTTGCTTTTTTCTAAAAAGAAATACCAGATCAAAGATCTATAGAACACCATTTAGTCGACTCTTGCTTTATTTTTTCATAATAAATGCCTCCTAAAAATATATGAAAAAAATGGTCTCCTTAATATTTTATGTTTCTCTCATATGACTTAAGGAGACCAGTGTATATTTTTTATAAATATAACTTGTGGTTTAAGTAGACCATTTTTCTTTCATAGTAATTTCACTTATTATGCATTAATTAACATATTGTTTCCAACCAGAATAGTTGCGGATGGTCATTAGTCAAGGTCAGCAGAAAGATATTTGTGCTAATGTGATTCAACATGATCAGTACAAAACTTTGAATTAAATTAAAGTCATTGCACAAGTGACTTAAATAGAGAGTAGTTGCCCCAGTGGCGCAGTGGTTAGAGCGTCTGCTCTAGAGTAGCGAAGTAAGGAGTTGATCCTTACGTCGCAGGTTCAAATCCCAGTGTGGGATGGGGAGACTGGTCCTTCAGATGAGACCGTATAAATCGAGGTCCTGTGTCGCAGTAGGTGCTGGCACGAAAAAAAACCCTCGATGCTCAATGGCCGTAAGTGCCGAGTATAGGACAAAATTTGCAGATCTCCATCGGCATGTGGTGGTGTCTCCATATGAGTGAAAAAATCTTGAGAGGAATGTTAAACAACATACAATCAATCAATATATAGAGAGTATAAGCCTAGAGTAGCTTGTTCTGATATCACATTTAACTCTCAATGCTGTCGCCCACGTGGTGCAGTGGAAAGAGCCTATGCTCTAGAGTCATGGAGTTAGTTGATCCTTTTGTCACATGTTTGAATCCCACTGTGGGACGTAGAGACCGGTCCTTCGTACAAACAGAGGTCCAGTGTCGCAGTAGATGCTGGCATGAAAAAGATCCCTCACTGCCCATTGGCCCTGAGTGCCGAGCATAGGTCATTTGCAGCTCTCCATCGGCAAGTGTTGGCATCTCCATATGAGTGAAAAATTCTCCAGAGGGACGTTAAACAACAAACAAACTCTCAACGCCCAAAACAGTTTAACCTAAAAGTGAATGCAGACACAGATTATTCTTTAGACCAAGTATAGTATACTCCATATTGTTTTGTTGAGGACAGAAAGTTCACAGTGGACATCAAGTAGTTTTTCCTGCTATTTATACCCAGCTTCTTTTAAACCATATAGTCACCGAGTGCATTCGCTTTTCCAACTAATTGATTCTTTCTGATTTAAGAATACATTTGACCAGTTGAAACCAAGAGTACATGTACTACATAAAATTTCAAGGTTGTGATTAAGATTCAGTAAAAGTCATGCTCCATCCAGTATAGCAATATGTGGATGCCATGTTCAATATACATATTTGCTATCATTAAACTTGCAGAGACCATGAATCAAAATAATTCAAATGCTTAAAAATCATTTTATTTTTACTGCTAGTCAAAATACAGTCACTCAAGCATATCCTTTGTTAATTTGAAAAAAAAAATGATAGTTTAACATTTATTATTAATACCATACCAAAGCACAAGATGGTGGATCATTACTATTCTGTTTTTAAGAAGTTTGCAGGGTAAAAAGTATAATAAAATAAAAATGTTGATACATTTATTGATTGCATATGCTAAAAACTTTTATAAAATATCAAACATTGTATCATAACAGCTTTTACAAATTAATTCAATACATTCAAAGGTACAAAAATCAAATTATTTTCATCCACAGTTTTATCATATTCAGTTGAACAACAGCTACATCTATTATATGAAATGTATGGTAGTTGGCACTGATGTATATCCTGAGCAAAGAAAAAACATACCTAATCAAAGAATACAAAGCTCACTTCTATAAATGTTATCTACTGGTAAGGCAAAGTCTCACTCAACAAACACTTTGGTAATGTATATCACCTGGATCCAAAATCTATGCAAGTTGGTCTGGGTTAGATTTAACTGCTCAATAACCCTGAAAATGTATGTTACATCCAGCATCAGAAGCAGGATACATCATCTATGTTTACTGATCACCATAGAGTATATTGTTACTTTGAATGAACCTTCTCTAAAAAACTGGTCATTAATCCAGAAAATCTAAGTCAAATCAAGGATTGGTACCCTGAAACATTCACATGTACATACATCATCTTTGCAGGTTTGTTCAACATAGAGTTTATAATTACATGAGAATAGGACTGCTCAAAACACTTAATCTTGTGGAGTCCCCC